AAAAGTCGTGTAAAGAGCCGGCACAGACAAACTCAGTGACGAGCCACAGCTGATGATCCATAACAAGTACACCAAAACTGTAGAGGAGGTTGGGGTGTTTCAATCTCTGAAGAAGAGAAACCTAAAGACAAAGAAAAAATAATCCAGTAAAAGCTTAAAATGACATTAAGTTTACTGTTTAACGCAAGAAAACATAATAAGGAACACTAACCTCTTTCAAGAGGTAGGTCTCGCAATCACCGGCATTAGTCAAAACACCTTTGATAACCAAATCTTCTTGGAAGTTCTTGTGGTGAACCTGAGAAAACAGTACAGCAGAAATAAACATTCTTGAAGACCGGGATAAAACTAAGTACGGAATTAGGACTGGGCAAACAGTAACTTATTGACAACCCTACAAGGCAGAGTCAACTGATGGCGCGTAATTCATACGTTTAAGACAAACTACACATTATTAAACTTTTTCAACAGGATAAGTGTTTATCAACGTAGTGAGGATGCACTAGCACATGTATTGATGAGAATAAGCAAAGTAAACATGTCTCCCGATTACCATTGCTAAACTCAGTAAATAGATGACATGTACATGAAGGAACTTGCCGCAGAGCTTTAGGTGAGAAGCGTACAAATTCAAAAGGTTTCTGGATATTCGGGAGCAAAGTTTTGCAAAGGCTTGTCTTATTTAAGCCGACAGGGTTGCATGCTAATTAATTAGGTTTTTTTAACGGACATGAGAAACATGATTTTGATACACATCGTGCCGAAAACTTCCCAATGTTCAAGTATTTTCCATGCTCACTAGAGATTGTAGTGGTGCATACATTAAAATCACAATAATACAAATGCGGACTGCAATCGCATTCTATATCTTGTTCGGCCACCGATTAAGTGAGGATAAATGCAATAATTTAAAGCGGTTTCCTACTAATGTCCACCTCAACTTTTGCTCTACAACATAAACATTTGCGCACTTCCACGGCAAAATGAGAAAATAGTGCCTTCTCCAGTATGATGCAGTTTACAGTAACAGTTCGTCTTTATATAAACAGATACGCATGGTTTTAACTGAAGGCAAGGGATGCCAAACCGAATTCTATGTATAAAATAGGTCAGTAGGGTATTCCATGTCCTTATCTTAGCTAACCTTATTTCATACTGATCCCATTCCCTATTAAGAAAAAAATGTGAACGCAACTGAGGACACAATACCCAAAAGAGCGCATCGTTCACACTTTCCATTTGACATTCGAGTATGGCGTCATACTCGAGAGTGACTACGCCAATTTTTATTGTAGTTAGTGGAATTTGTGCCTCCCCACTAAATATATTTAGTGGGAGGCCCAAATCCAAATAACTGCAATACAAACTGGCGAAGTCTAACGTCTTTGACTAAGTCTCTGTTATAAATGAACGGGACTTTCTAAGTCCTGAGAAAGAAGGAACGTCTACGCCCAGCTGGGTGTGGTAAAATGAAGTTCACAGCTTGAGCTCGGGTTCGCTAAGCAAAACAGAAAACTAAAAGTCAAATTAGATACCGAAAGCCGGAGATATATAAGTTCACCTTATAAATTTTTCCAAACGCTCCCTGCCCAAGTTCCTCAATTATTTCGATGTCTTTGGCATCGAAAAGAAGGGGAAGCTGTTTCTCAGAGTGAATAGAAATTGAGCGGCCGAGGCTCGGCAACTTCTTAATTGCATAGCTCCGCTTTCGTTCTAATAGTCTTTAGGAAGAAACCGGCAGTAATTAAAGTGACAGCACTCACGATCTGCTTTCCAACAACGCGTTGTTCATCGCAGAGTCAAGTTCGTAAAAATAATTGAAAAAGGTCATTGTGCGGTGAAGTGTTAGCTAAAGAAAACAAAGAAAGGTCACGTTATGGTCAGACAGAAAAAAACGCATAGTTTGGTGCAAGACCCATGATTCAGGATTCTTGTGCACGACACGCAGAAAATTCAAAAGTATGGCAACTTTTTGCTGAGATCTGAGAAGGAAGCGAACCCATGCAAACATTTGGAGCTTATTTCAGCTCATTTCAGTTTACAGAGGGAAAAGGCTTGATTCTTTAATACCCTTTTGCAACGTAAAACAGGGTGAAGTATACACAGAAATAATCTGCCAGGTGTTATTGGGTTAATCCAGGAAGAAGGTGGATTCCATCTGGTATCTTAAACAAAGTCACTATTCTGTGCTTTAGATGTCGACCGTGACTGAGGTTTGCCAATCGTTGCTTCTAAGATTAACCGTCCTCGCATAACTGCGAGCATATTTTGAGCGATTGCTGCTTCTAGAGCTATAGCAAAGTGGTAGATTCCAATTGAATCAAGGACCATGTGAGCAGCTGAAAAGTTAGATGGAAATAACTGCCGGAGATACGGGAAAAGTTGGCTAGCAGGAGATAATGAGCCAACGTTAGAAAGAGATCTCTAATGAGGGGATTTTGGGAAAGGCTTTTGTATGTTGATGAGGGTAAAACTCTACGTTCTGTTATAGAGTTTTATAATGACTAATAAAAAGCTTATTTCCATTAACCCTAATAGCAAGTGAGCTCGCCGCGAGCTAACGTACTCTAGGGGGGTAGTGGCTCTTTAGCCTGCTCGTGATTTGATTGGTTCCTGGGTCAGGAGCGCCGGCGACGCGAAGGGCGCAAGCGGCCGCGCATACTTGCACTTGATTATCGATTAGCCTCGGCGGCCGATAGCCCTCCGGCTCTCGTCGGTGCCACTTTTTGCTTTCTCACGCTGCACTGCGCACGCCGTGTCCCAGTCAACGCTGCCATTGACTGTCTTTGCCTTATATCACTCTTCTTTGTGTTCTCCGTGCTCCCATTTTTCTCACAATAATGTTTACTCCTGTTAATAGGCGTAAAATACGGCGCCAAGCACTTAAGGAAGCAGAAGAAATTATACGAAGAATCAACGAAGAGATTGGTGAAATGCCGTCGTCGGACACATCATCCGGTAGCTGGTCGGAAAGCGACACGGATGATTCTCTGTCCTCAACTTCTATGGCAAATGAATGCTCTTCTTCCTCGGAGGGTCGAGTGAGCCAACGGACGAAGAAGTTGGTTTAACGGCAGTAGTTGAGGAGGCATTAAGCTGAGCGCTCACAGTGAGAGAAAATAGCCTACTTCTATTAACAAAGACAGTTTGGGCAAACTGGAGGGATTTTTGCTCATAGGCAAAAGCCTTTTGGCTCCTGTGCCCTCAGAGTCACAAAGTATGGGAAATGGATGACGACGGAACGCGCGAGGCACAATTTTCAAAGGATTAGTGAAAGTTATATTTTTGGATTCAATTCCTTAATCTCTTGCAGAGTTTTCCAGTGTAGATCTGACAAAATTTTCTATTTTTTGTCATAAGTCATTTTCGCTTCCCGTCATGTTTCGGCGATTTGTCATAAAACAGAAATCTAGTGTCGTAATTTTTCACCCAACATAGCCTCAATCCTATCAAGTCTTACCTGCATATACAAAAGGTTTTCCTCGAAAAAATATAGAAAAGCATTGTATTTTAAACGATAAACCGTCTCCACTGATGTGTGACTTGAAATTTAGTTCTGGGTTCAATATTTCGATTTCGAACGTCACATTATTTTCTTACCAGTGAACAGGCAGTTTCCCTGCGATCGGCAAAGGTATTCACAGGAAGAAAATGACTAGTTGTTTTAGTTTTAATCTGAAAAATTAGCCCTCGCGACAACAGTATCCGTTATTTTTCCACTTGTTGGGTTACTTTTCGCAATATTCACAGTTGACCTTTGACGACAGTAAGAGTTGTGGTAGCCGTAGAAGGGAATTACACAACGCCATCAGGCGTTCTGCAGAATGATTAGTCGACGTAAACTTCGGTACACAAGCTACTTAATGCACACTCGCGGTAGCATTATTGGTAGTCCTAGACTTAGCAGTTCCCATAGCCTACGTGCTACTTGTGCTAACACGGCACCAACAACAGCAGGATCTGCATTGTCATATCTTAAACTGATTGTGCTCGTAACATCTTGTGCTAGTGTTATCGGTACTACCTGCGTATACGAAAATTGCCGATGGATGGACTGCCTTTCCATATGCAGACAACTGTCTTGCCGTATTACTCCGATTTTTAGCCAAGTACACAAACTTTACCTTTACGGGGGTTTACGCAGCAGACATACGTTTTCGCGTGGAGACTAGCACAGTACGTTTTACAGAAGCGGCAGTACCGGCATTGCCTTAAATCCGGTAGGACTTGCAGTAGGCTTGTTCCACGCAGGCAGTTCAATGGTGGCCGTAAAGCCTCGTTTCCACAACTGGCAGCAGCCCAGACGTAACCCAGCACTTCCACACGTCATTCGTGTTGGCGTATTACTAGCTAATTCATTCCTTTACTACTAGCAGTATCAGTCTTAACCGTTACTTCTACTATCTGCTGTTCGGCAGATAAAGGTAGCAGTGACATACTTAGTACTATCGGTCAGCGATATGAGTCAGTGTGCTAAGTCTACAAATGTTAACTGGATTTCTGAAAGGTGTTTTCGTTTCGAAAAGATTACTTAGGTAGAATTTTGAACCTAATAATAACGTAGCTTAATCATATAATAATTCATTTACCGCAGGACGCTGGCTTTCAAAGGAACATCTTTCCGGCCGCATGCAACACCGGCCTTTTGCAAACAATGACTATTTATATAGTATGATTTTTTTCGTAGACTTTAGAGCGCCTTGCAAATTAAATTCCATGTCATGGGAAGCACGCATGTACTTATTCTTTCTTTCACTCATTCAGTAGAAAATTACGTCTTCTTTAAATTTCATACTCAAAGGAACGGTATCATTTGGTTTTCTAAACATCTTCCAATTCCCGATTAACTTTGAGTCCTACCTGCGGTTACGCATGCATTCAAGGTTTAGAACCTACACATCATACATTTTCTGCGTGAGGAATATCATACATTAAGAGGAAACCATAAGGGGTTCATTAAATCTTGCAGGGAATTCGAGTTATATCGTAAACTTTACCAGCAACATCACTAACTACAGGAGTATAATGTTTTATGGACGGTCATTTCACGGAATTAAAACATCTCATGACATTGGGTAGATAAAAAATACGCAGCTCGTGGCCCGCTATACTACTCGTAAGTAACCACATTAATAGTAAACTTCGTCCTTTTCGTTTGCTATCTCCTTTTACGACACTGCTGACCACTTATTAGTTCTTTGCCCGCAGAGGTAGCGCTCTCTTATCTAGTATGGGTCTTCCAGTCCGTATGATGAAGGCGAGTAGTATAACCAATCTAATGAACTCATGCAGTTGTCTAAGCCGCAGAGAATTTCTTAGACTTCCTGCTCATATAAGTAATAACTGAGACAATTAGTTGCAAGACAGACTTCTTGCGTTTTCCGGGTCTTTTACTCATGTTATCTGTTCGCTCACTCCTCCCCTTCCCCACCGGTTCCAGCCTGCATGAGTACCCGATAACGTACACACCTGTGGGTGCGTCGAGTATTTATAAATGACGATGCATGCTTTGAAATACTCCTTAACGTACTCAGGACTTACTTGCATAACAGACCACACTGTGTTACCTAAGCAAACGTTTTACTGTCAATGGCACGGTTTACTATGGTGGCCCTCTTAGTGACTTCGTGTACGTAATCTACCAATGGCATTATTATTAAGAGGCTCTCTGTTGAATAATCCATTCATATGTTCAAATACCGGTTCACCTGAGTTAACCGATATGTCATGGGATTGTTCTACGCTTTAACTAATATTACAGCTTTACCTAAAGTAGGTGGACTAACTCAAGAAATGTCAACTGAAATTCTGAAATGCTTCTTCGTTTCGAAAAGATCACTTAGGCAGGGTAGCAAAATTAATGATCTTGCAGTGTAAATCTATAGTGATTCAGTTACCACGGGATGTCGGTTTTTGAAGGAACTTCTTTTTGGCCGCCTGCAAAACCCACACTCTGTAGAAAATGACTACTTAAGTAGCGTGAATTGTTCTCATTCGTGTTCGATGCCGTTAAAAATGCAATTATATTTCATGGAAAATGTGCATAAACGTAATCATTTTTTTTATTTCCTGGATAGAAAATTGCATCATCTTCCAAATTTTAAACTCAAGGGACGGCTTTAATTCAGTTTTCGAAGAGTTTTCCAATTCCCGCATAATTTCGAACCTGACCTGCAGTTAAACTTACATTTAGACTTCAGAAA